CGACCGGTCGCAAATAGCCAGCGACCGGTCGCCAGTCGACTTCGCTCCAGACTTCGACTCTGCCTGAAAACGACCGGTCGCAAATAGCCAGCGACCGGTCGCTTGTCCAAGACTTAGTATCTTTTATGCGAGCCAATTTTCCAACAAAATAAGCATGTTCTTCTTAGTGATCATTGAGTTACCTTAGTTCTGGAGGATACTCAGGCCACTGGTTAGTCCACTTTGTCTCTTCCTTGTCCTCAGGATCAAGGGAAGCTGGCATTAACATTGGCTCCTCCACTGCGAAATCAAACACCTCCTTCCAGTCTCTTACATTCTTGGTGTGCTCAGTGTCATAGTAACCAAACAAACTTTTTTCATCCCTCGTAATCTTCTTCTTCTTATCCAATAGCACCCCATGGTTGATCACTTGGAAGAACCCCCACTCTTTGCATGCATTGCCTATTTCTCAAGCAACCCCTTCAATGGCTTTAGGGTCAGAAATGTTGTCTGAGGAGTTTAGGGGAGACAGGTCAATCAATGGTATGCCTTCAGCTTCGGTGGCGGAGAGTTTGGGCCTGTGCTCAGGGTCTTGGATGAAAGCTGGATCAACCTCCCCCATGGATGGTGAAGTTAATTTGGAAGCTAAGCCGCTCAATGGTATTTTGTTTTTTGTTTTTGCAAGCAAGCTAATAGAAGAATGGTATACGAGTGGTTGAAGTTTTATCTTGAATCTGGATGGGTTCTTGTCAATTAGTAGTGTGACGGTTTGTGCTTGCTGTTAGGAACGGTGGATCAAATACAATTGTCCCACGTCAGAAAAGGAACTGTCCATAAATGGATTAATTAAGCGGTAGCTCTTTCTAAATTGTACTGCAATTCAAAAAAAATTTAAATGAGGGGTGGGATTGAGATAGATTTTAGCAGGTTAGTAAGTTCATTCATCCTAAGAACCCAAAACAGCCAATGTCACAAATTAATCAAAACCCAAAGCGTTCTCGTTGTTGAAGCAAAATAAATGTTTGTAGATAATTATATTACTGATCTTAGTGACACTTTAACCACACAATGTTCAGAAGTTACACACAGGTCACTTCTCTATAGAACAATGCATTATTTTCTGAATCGATATACAGCACGGTATGCACAGGGAGCTAAAATAACAATAGTAGCACTTAGCAAAACTCCTTGTACTCCGAACTTATTCCAATACCCTGAAATGATAAATCTGGATGTTTTCAGTACTGAGTTTCTTGAAATTACTGAGCTTTCTATGTGTGATAAACTTGCCCCATCTGTAGGGCTTATACTTGGCAGGGTTTCGTTCATCGGTCAGCTCCTCCAAGGGCTTGACTTGTGTGTAGTGTGCTGGGCTGAGGAAGAAGGGAATGGAAAACCTTTCCTTCTCTGAGTTCACCATCACCCTGTGTTCCACACTCTCATATCTCTCATTGCTCCAAACCTGTATAAACATTTCTTTGTTATGTGCACAACAATATATAGCGTGCATTGACTAATTAACATATCCTGTA